ACAAAATGAGAAACACTTAATTCTCTCAATTACTCTCTACCACTATCATCATCATCATCATCATCACCTCCATCATCCCGACACGACCACCACCACCATCCACCGTCGTCACCACCGCCACCACGACGACGACGATGCCACCGCTACCATGACAACCACCACCACCACGATATCATCGCCACCACCTCCACCTATCACCACTATCATCATCTCCACCGCCACTACCATCACTGTCACCACGCCATTGCCACCACCACAACGCCACCACTTCCACCACCGTCACTAACTACCTTTGTCATTGCCGCAGCCACTGCCATTACAATTACCATTACCATTACCACCACGCCACCACCACCACCACCATTGTCGCAGCCACTGCCATCACCACCACCACCATCGCCATTGCCACCACCACGATGCCACCACTTCCACCACCGTCACTAACCACTACTACCATCGCTGCAGTTAGGGGTGTGCAAAATAACCAAAAAACTGAACCGAACCATGAACCGAACCGCCCCTTAAAATAATCGGTTTTTAAAAACCAGTTCATGAACCGAACCGGTTTTTAAAGAACCAATTCATGAACCGAACCGATTTTTAGAACCAGTTTAAGAACCAAACCATTTTGAACCGAACCGTTTTCAAACCGAACCAAATTGATTTTTATAACTTTTTTTAATTTTTTAATTTTTTTCTTTTCAAAAGAGGGTCGACCCGAACCGGTTTCGAACCAAACCGAACCGTTTCTAACCGAACCACTTCTGAACCGAACCACTTTTGAACCGAACTAGTTCGATTTTTCAAAAAATCCAGTTCGGTTCGACCCATGCACATCCCTAGCCGCAACCACTGCCACCAACCACCACCATGTCATTAGTAACACTGCCATGCCATCATCACCACCACTAACCACCACCACCATCTTCGCAGCCACTGCCATCACTACCATTGTTATCGCCACCATTACCACCACCACTATGCTGTCACCATCACCACAGCCACTGCCAACACGCTACCACTACTGCCGCTGCCACTACCACCACCACCACCATCACACCAAATGGAAAGGAAAGTGATAATCCGAAAAAAAATCACGCTTAATAGGAATTATTTTGTATTATATTATTTGTTGTGTTATCAAACGCAATTCTCATTCTCAGAATAAAAATAGATCATGTTATCAAACACATTTTTTTTCTCAGAAACTGTTCCAAGGCACAGAAATAGAAAATAATTGTTTCTTTTCAGAAACAGTGTTAAGGAACAGAATGGTTGTCATGCACACCCTTAGAGTTAACCCATTATAAATGATTCAAGCAATTTTTTTTCTCAAATGTCCAAAGAAGAAACAATTTAAAATATAACAAATTACGACCAAATATAAGTTCAAATGAACCAGCAGATATAATTGTGATTTATTTGGCAAAAAAATAATAAATTTGACGTGATTTGAGATCTAATATTTAAAATTTGTTTTGAATGATTTATTTATTTATTTTTAGAAGATAATTTTCATTTTATTTATTTTTAAGATTTTAAATTTTGAATTGATTTGTTAATTAGTCTATAAAAGAATATTTAAGACCCTTATTTTTATTCAGTGTCACTATAACTAGACAAGTACCACATCACTAAAGTAACTAAGGATTTTCACATTAATAGGTGAGACTAAAAGATTCATTGATAGGTTATAGTGGATCAAAAAAAAAATCCAAAAGCAACATACATCCAGAAATTTGGACGGTGGCGGAAATGGTTACTACAAGTCTACAATCATGTTGTGCTTTCTAGTTTAAAATTGTGTAGTAAAAGATTTTACACGTCAAATTTATACTCAAATCCAATCAAAATAGATTCTAACCATATTATGTAAAGTGAAAGAATTCTAACCATATAAAAATGAATCTACGGTAATGATTTTATAACTACTTATTCTAATATTTTTTCTCTTTCTTCCCTTATAAAATCATCATTGCTCCGTCTTTATATGATTATGATTATTATGATAAGAAATGGATTCTTATTTGGAGAATATGATTACTCTTCCCACATTGACACTTGGTTCCTTTTATTACAACTTAACTATAGCAACCCATCCACTAGTAGCCACGACATCTAATTAATTGACACCTCATTCCCCTACTAACAGATAACCCCCCACCAGTATACAACTATCAGCAAACATTTACAATTGGGCATTTACAATTAGGCTTCCTATTTACATATGGGAAACAAAGTCTTTGGCCCAAGAAGGTGAGCCTCCCCGTAACATATCTCAGGTGACATGGTTATGTTGATGTTAAATAAGAGAATTCACTCCCAAATGAATAACACAATGTTAGCCAACCTTCAGTTACTAAGTTTTATGTTAGGTGAAATAGGGGTGAACATAGAGGATTAGGGCCTAAGTCAATTTCTGTTAGTGACAGTTAATTAATGGGGGATCTCTAATTGAATTGGTTAGAGGGAAGAGAGGGAAAATAACAAAATAAAAAGGGGAGGGAGAGGAATTCCAGGGTACAACAGATTGCAATAAGTAGTGAGTAGAACAAGGATTCTCTAGTTACTGGAACAGAGAATGAGAGTCTTCCTCTGTCACTGACATTGGAACCTTATCTCTAGGATCTCCAATCACTCTTATTTAGACCCGCAGATAAGAGAGAATATCAATTCAATTTCCTATTCTTTCCCTGTTTCTTCAAATTTCTAACCCAGTTCCTATCTCATAAATACTTCAAAAGTTTGGAAAAATAAATATGTACCTTGCTGCAAGCATATTTGATTTAATTTAATTAATTATGAAACAAAAAAATGTGAGTTTAGAGCAATGGTAAAACTGACTGAAAAGTCACGAATTTAAATTTAAAAAATAACCTATTTGCAAATATATAAGGGTACATATAAGAATTGTTCTCACTCCACGTTCACTTGTTCAGGTTTAATTGAAAATAGTTTTTTCAATTAATTATTAAACAAATATTCCTTCTTATAATCACTTAGCAAGCAACAGTATATTATAATTTGGAAGACAAAAAAAGGACAAGTTGAAAGTAATATTCAAAATGAGGATAGAGCATAGAAGTGTTTAAAAAAAAGGAAAAATATACTTTTATGTTGTATGAGAGAATTTTTTTCTCCTACACATATATCGATTTCCGTATTACTTTTTTATTTTTTATTTTTTATTTTATAATAAGTGGATCTCACACATTTGCCTGGTGGATTCTTGAGCTGTATTAGTCCCATCCTGGGCTTCGATTTGTTCGCAAAAAACCGCATTGTTGTTCCAAACTTAATTTAGTGTGGTGTTGGTTCCCAAACCCAAATTGATTTGATTCTTCAAAGAAATGACAAGACATAATTTAGTTCATTCTGAAAATTTTAATAAATTATGAGAAAAATATTTATTTCAAGAAAAGGAAAAACGTAACCACAGAATTCAAATAAAGAACTATGTCAGCACACAATTGAAACATGATGGGACTGCATGATCAATCACTAATTTTACAACATTAATGTAGACAAGTTGCAATTCTTCTATACCATCGTCGTACATACATCAATTCCAGAGTTTTATTTTGAGATAGAAATATTTTTTTCGTAATCATGTGAGAGTTACAGTGATTAAACCCAAGATTAAAAGTTCAATTCTCAGATAAATACTTTTGGCGAGACCTTCAACCTTCACTATACCGGATCAAATATATATATATATATATATATATATATGTATATATATATATGATTCATTTTATGAAAAAATAGAAAAATTAATTGATTTTATTATACTTAATTTTTTAATACTTTTTATTTTTCAAATTAATAATAAAGAAAAAAACTATTTTTTAAAATATTATTTTATTTTGAAAAAACAAGGATAGAAGTTATTAAAAGTGAGTTATTGATGTGGGATTTTTATGATTTGCCTAAGGCTATAAAAAAAGGACATTAGCCTATTAACATGAAATGGATTAGCTTTGCTGGAATCTAATTAAAAGAAAGGAAAAATGTGTGCCATTTCAAAAGAATGTACACTTGTATCATTTTAAGTGAGAAAAAAAATAGATAAAGGGAAAGAGATAGTGCACAAAAAAAATAAAAGTGTGAGTCTTATCTCTTTGTGAGAGTAAAATGACACAAATTGTGTATTTAAAAAGACAAACATTTTTTTCTTAAAAGAAGCATGTGCCCAAAAAAAAAAAAAAAACTAAAATATGGAATGGATTTCTGGGTCTAAACTCTAAAGCCAAATGGGAAACCAAACTGATCACAATTAAGAAGACTCAGTTGGCCGAAAAAATTCAGTTTTGCCTGGGTTATGAAATAAAAATTTAACGCTTAAATAAAAAAAAATGATAATACGCAAGATTCTTTATATTTAATGAAGGAATTAGGGATAAAGATAATAATTAGGGATACGAATAAGGGTAATATTTAAATTATGTAAATTCTTTTATCGATTAGTTGTTTAGATCAATAACTTGTAAATATAAATGTCCCTCTACTAATGAAAACAATTTAGATTCCATAAAATTTCAAATAAAGAAAAATATTACAATAGCGCATTAGAATAACTACACTATTTATCTTGGTAGCACAAATATGTACTCAAACTTACCCCGGATACTTCAAAAACCACAAATATATGGTCATATTAGCCTGTAAGTAATAGACACATTAGTCCATAAAAAAACACTAATATGACCAACATTTATGGTTCTTTAAGGATCAGAGTAAAATTTTTACATTCTCAATAACTAATGTGTTTATGGTAAAATTTCTCAAAAACAAATTTAAAGATTTACAAAATAAAGAGGGTTCTTTCAATGACCAATCATTATTTCCTACCGTACAATCAAATTGCATCAAAATTGAACTTTAAAGAGACGTCAGAGTAGCAAATGAGCAGGTCATTTCAGGTCAACTACAGTGTTGAGAAAGAAAGGAGCAGAAAGTATGAAATTCGCAAGAAAAAAAAGAAGTTAAATTTTCCACATACAACACAACAATTCTAGTCACCGAATTTTTTTGTCCTCTCAAAGTTGTCTCTATCCAAATTTAAAATTGCTTTCAGACTTCAATTCTTTACCTGTAAATCCTAGCCAGAAATTCAGTTACAGGTAGCAGAAACAATGCCAATCTGTCCACACCCCTTACAAGAGAGTTACAAGAAGACTTCAGTGAACAAGCAACCAATAGATCTGAAATTCTAGAAAGATGTTACTAAATAAAATTTCAACCACTAAAAACATTAGTAGTTAACATCTCATTGGACTCTATCTAGGTGTAACATGGTGTACAGTTAAATCTAAAACATTTGTTGGAATAATGTTGATGTGTTTCTAAATAAATTGTTTCACCAATGCCTAAGAAATGTTTACTTCTGAAGCAGCATGAAGGAGCTCATCTGGGGTTGCAGCTGGATCAAGATCCCAACACTTTTCAGGCAAATTTTCTGCCTCCCCTTTCAGCAACCATGAAGGCACTTGGTGTGAAAAGCACAACATTTCTCTTCTTGGTATCCATCGAATGGCATTTCTGTCTGTATTCCTCTTGTATACAGTTTTGAATCCAGCCAACTTAATAAGGGGACTAACACAAACACCAAGTTCCTCAGAGTAATCATCCAGCACCTCCACCATTTCGTATTGATGCCTCACTTCATCCGGTGTAGATCTGTTCCAATCTGTTGACCAATTTCTATAAACGGCCCAAATATCTCCACTTCTGGGGTATAGGCGAACACAACCACCTCGACCAGCCTTTGCCCGGATTAGAACATGAGAAAAAATGTTAACTTGGTCAACAACATCAGAGTTCAAGGCCCTGAAATTTCCGCAAGATTTGGTGAAGCCTGAATCAAGCCAGTTCACTGAGCCAAACTCACTATCAGTTTTTGAACTCAAGTAACTAATATGAAGTTTAAATGGATTGACAGAGATAACCTCGCGGATCAGACAATACAAGCGAGGCATGCCATCATCCTCATCATATAAGGCCCATATTTGCTTTGGCCTGAAGCATTCTTCCGACCTATCTTTATCGAAGTCATGAAAGTCGGGATCAGGCACAGTTATTGAGACTGGACCAGTTTTCCTATGCTCTAACTGATGACCAGAAACATTCAGAACTGTTTTTCTGCATGTGTCTCTTTTGACTTGACCAACTTCAGCTTTTGATTTTTCTCTCTCATTAACAGCAGCAGCAGCAGCAGCAGAAGTTTCAGATGCCAACTTCATCTCTTCCAGTTTCTTCCTTATTTCTGTCCTGGCCTTCTCAATCAATAATTTTCTTGCATCAAAAGCTGGTGCCATGGAATACTGTTTGGTTTGCACTTCACTTGTGCAGTTAAGCCTCTGGCCGTGTCCAACACTTTCATTTCCATTAGCCAATGTTGATTCTGAAGCACATTTTGACCCCTTTTCTTCATGGCCATTTTTTAAACTGGGTCCCACAACTTTCCTTTTCTTCTCAGGTTTACTTGGCTTAACTTCCTGTGGTTCATTACCAGGGAATGACACATCTGAATTCATATTGACCACAGTCTCGGTCATGTGATGCTTCCTATCAACTCCTGATTTAACTTTTGGTCTTCCCCTTTTCGCATTCCCATTAGCCTGACTAACAGAATCAGCAGATAAGGTGGTTGATCCATTTTCATTGGCAAATCCAGCAGAGCTCCACTGATATGAAACATTTGGAACATACTCATATCCATGTCCCGAATGGTATCCTGTGACCCCATTGCCAGTGAAATAGGCGGCACTAGTTGGAACATATGTCACTCCATCAAATGAATGGCTTCCATACCCATTGCCAGGCACATATGACCAAGGACAATATGGGAATGAACCATTTGCTGGGGCTGCTCCTGTTTCAACAGCAATGAAAGTGCAACGGCAATTCTTACAAGAAAGTTTTTTATTCGCATACTTGCGCTGATACTCATACTGAACCTTACAAGAGGTGCAAATTGTCCAGAAAGTGGCATGCTTATCTCCAGAGGTTGAAAAATTGGAACATTGACTATAACCTGTTGCATGGACTGAAGATAAATCCATCTGATTAATCCCTGCAGCCAATTGCGCATTTCTTTTGAGATCATAAGAACTGCGCAAAGAACTATCTGACAGCCACGTCCACGCCTCAGACACAAGATTAAATGCCCCATCAGCTCCCACACATTTGTTCTTATCTGGGTGAAGCAACACAGCCATCTTCTTGTACTTTTTCTTCACAGCATCTTTATCTGCTGAAGGTTTTAAGCCAAGAATAGAATAATAATCTGGTTCACCATTACAGGTGACCTCGGAGGCAATGTAAACATCAAATGTGGTCACCATTTGAGATATACCCTCCAATCCGGGATAAAGCTTTTTAGCCTTCAAAGCATAACTTTTTGCACCTGCAAAGTCCCTCTGAGCAAATCGCTTCTCAGCAATCTCTATTGCTTTAAGTGCCTCCTCTTTGTATGCTTCCATGTAGGAACCAAAACACTTCAAAACTGAACTCTTGAAACAGATGCTATAACCAGCCACACACATCTAACATCGTTTCCACTGTCCATATCTGCTGAGAAAGATTTGGTATGAAAAAAAAAAAAAGCAAAAAAAAAAAAAAAAATTAAAAAAGTTTTAAAGCTCACAAAATATTCAACTCAGATCAAAGAGCAATAATTCATACCATTTTGCATTAAAAGAACAGACACAAATGCCATCCTATATTAACAATTTTATAAAATAAACTTCAAGCATCGACCTATGATTCATGCTCTCTAAGGTTGCTAAAACAACAAGGGTCATGCGATTTGAGTCTATTACACTAAAAACAAAATATCAAAAAAACTTTTTTTTTCCTTCCTCATTAACTGAACTTTCCAAGAAACCAAACACTTCCAATTTTAAGATCAATAAAATATTTATCTCTTGAAACACGCAAGCAAAATAATCGAAATTCAATAAAAACCCAAAACTAAGCTTAGAGATCGAAAATCTACACCAAAAAGCCCAAAAATTTAAACTCATACTTTATTCAAAATTAAAAATTAAAAAAAATAAACGAACAACAAATTTAGCAACCCCAGATGCAATAAAACTTAGGAAAATTAAAAAGAGAAAGAAAAAGAAAGAAAAGAAACTAACTGAGATTGGAGCTAAAAATGGAAGTTGAAGAAGACCCAGATCGGAGAATTGAGCTTAGCACAGTGCGAATCTCAGCAAACTAACATCGGAGAACACAGAACCCAAATTTTCATGGAGTCTGCTGAATCGGGAACCGGGTTCGGGTTCGGGTCGGAAACTGGTCCGATTCGGTTGATGAATAGGAGCTTCTGACAATGGCAGATGAGAATAAGATGGTAACAGTAGCAATGAAAAATTAAAACGTTTATTATGATTATTATTGCCGTTGTTATCTATTATGTTATTATTATATATTTAATAGAATGATAATAATTTGTTATAAACTGATATGATTGGACATTGGGGGAAGGTGAAGTGTAAGATAGAAGCACAATGGCGTCATAGGAAATTTATCTATTATTATATTACACTAGATTATTTTGAAATTTGTTTGAACAGCAGTAAAAAAAATTTAGTTTAGAGGCGTTTGGTAGGATGATTTTTTTCAGGATTTTTAGGAAATTGAAATTTTTTAAATTTTAAATTTTTGGATATTTTTGTAAACTGATTGTAAAAATCATATTTTTAAAAATTGAGATTCCTGGATAAAAAAAAAAATTCTCCTCTACCAAACGCCCCATAATTTTAAATTATATTCTATTTTTTTAATATTGAGTATTAACTTCGGGGTTTTGGTTTGTCATGCAACATGATATGGTAAAGTTTCTTACAGACACAATATTTTATGGGACCCATTTATGAAAAAAAGAAAAAAAGAAAAAGTACGAAAAACGAGTCTCTACAACATGACATGATAACTTTTTTTACGACATAACTTTTATAAAACCCATTAACTTTACTGTTAGAATATTTCAAGAAATCACTTATATATCAAAATATTTTTTATAAAATAAATTTGAAATTTTAATAAAAGAATAAAATATTTACTTTCCCGTACAAACAATAAAGACATGGGATCGATAATTTTATTTCTCATTTCTCATGTTATTTTCTCTCTGCACGAAAATCAGTATTTATTCCTATAATATATATATATATATATATATATTCTAAAGCTGATAATGTAGATTGATTTGTCTTTAACCAAATAAAAAATGGGATAGGATGATATATTTTTATAAATAAATTGAAAATACAAACCCACCTGATTTTATGATGGATTAACGTGTTGGCGGATTAATCCACCTAGATAATAATAAAAATCTTAAAAACAAGTAACGCCAAAGTAAAAATCAAAAGCCGAGGAAGAAAAAAAGTGGAATCTGATTCAACCAACACACACTAAAATGGCAAGCATCATCACTCCAAAAATTTTATAAACAAATAGTGCATGCCATAATTCACAAACAAGTAATGCAAGGAAACACCCAATGACAAATAAAAAAGAAGTTATAATTACCTTGACAAAAAAAAAACCCTCGAATTTCGCACATTCAAGCTGTGGGTAATTTAAGAATTATATGAGAAAAGAGCATCAATAAAGTCATTAAAGTAGGTTTACGAAGTTACCCAAATTCATAGAAAAGAAGAGATTTTTACTATGAATAGCTAATATGAAAAAGAAGAGATTTTGATCACGAATAGCACAAATAAGTGCACATCAATAGAACCAATAAAAGTAAAACTAAAGTAAATGAATCACCTTCTTCGTTCTGGTCTTGGTTTTGAATTTAATCGCAAAAGATAACAAGAACGAGATGTTGAGATTTGGCTTGATGGTGGGATTGGGAACTTAACATGTAATAGGTAGCCACAGCAGCCGTGAGTGAAATATAGAGGCTAAGAGATTATAGGTAAGGGAGGTAACCCAAAATTTTAAGTCCTCACTTTTTTATAAGGAGTGAATCGTAGGCATGTATTTATGTTGCAACATGTCATCCTCAAATATTTTTTGAGAAAAATATTTCTGCAGTTATTGCAGATAAGCTATCTGCATTTACTCTCAAAACGACGTCGTATTGAGTTTACTGCAAATAACTTATATGGAGTAACCACAGAAAAAGCGAACCCATATTTTTTTTACCAAAAGTCTTTTGGGGAACAAGTGAGTCAAAATTTACATAATTGCGATTTTCATTTTTCAATTTTCAACGGTTCGACATTAAATCTCCTTAAATACAAGGTTGCCTCTGAGAAACCACTAACGCATAACAGTCATCTACCATTAAATCTCTATAAATAAAAGGAGATTAGAAAGGGGAATGAATCCTCTCATGCCTAATGATGAGGGATTTTGGTAGTGTGCCAAAGGTTATATATTCAAACATCGGTTCCACTGTTGTATCTAAAAAACAATTCTCATGTCATATGGAAGATCTTAATCATTTATTCACATATCAATGATTATCAATTAAATTGACAATTTCCATGTTCTCATCTTACAAACTTCGTCAAAATTGTGACCTTTGATCTATATTGAATGATTGACTAAAATCTTTCATATGATATTATTATGTTAAAACAAGACATGAGATGATTAATTTTCTTAACGGTCATTTAGTTTTTCTTTTAAGTGAAAAATAAAAATGAAGAATATTTGAGAAAATAGTGCAAAATTTACACAAACTTTTTTTTCTTTTCAGTTTTCAATGGTTTGCCATTAAATATCCCTAAATACAAGCTTTCCTCGAAGAAACAAATAAAGCAAAATAGTCATCGACCATTAAATGTCCATAAATACAAGGCATTCAAGATAGACATTTTTTTTTTTTTTTTTTTGTAAATAAAGAAGGGCTAAGTCCAGACATTTTTTTTCTTTAGATAGACGAGAGAAAGATAAAAAGAAAACAAACAATCTTCAGAAGACAAGTAATGCAAAATTTACACAAAGTGTGTATTACAAAAAAAAAAAAAAAAAAATTACACAAAGTGTTTTCACTTTTCAATTTTCAATTGTGTGTCATTTAATTTTCCTATGTACACGGCTTTTAAAAAAACAAGTAATTTAAAATGCTTGCGTCATTAGATCCCAATAAATGCAAGGCTCAAAAGCTCAAAATGGTCACTTCAAACAAGAAATGTAATGCCATTATTTTTTTTACATGCCAAACAGACCCGAATTCTAGATGGTGGTTTGCTACACAAGCCAAAAGTTGAATGCCTGGTTAAATGGAGCTTGCCACATATGGGCTGGGCAAAGTTAAACGTGGATGGATCCAGCGCTCATGGGGATCTTCGAATGGGACGTGGTGGTGTGATTCAGGATTATAGTGGAGATTCAGTTGTTGGGTTTGCTAAAAACTTGGGCTGCGGGAATTCAGTCGATCCAAAAGTTTAGGGGGTCTATTTTGGCCTGCTGATAGCTTGGGAATGTGGCTTTAGAAGGATTTGGCTAGTAGGAGATTCCATGGTGGCTAGAGACTCAGTCCTCAAAGATTGTCAAGAGGAAAACTCACTGAACAAGGTGATAGCTCGCATAAGAAGCTTGATTGGCAGATATTGGGTTAACCATTTCTCACATACCTGCAGATAAGCAAATGGGGTGGAAGATTGATTGGCAATTCAAGCCTATATACGATCACTTCAAACAAGATATGCAAGGCCCATATTTGCTTTGGCCTCAAGCATTCTTCTGACCTATCTTTATCGAAGTCATAAAATTCAGGATCTGGGATAGTTATTGAGACTGGACCAGTTTTCTTATGCTCTAATTGATGACTAGATACATTCAGAACTGTTTTTCTGCATGTGTCTCTTTTGACTTGACCAACTTCAGCTTTTGATTTTTCTCTCTCATTAAAGCAGCAGCAGTTTTAAATGCCAACTTCATCTCTTTCAGTTTTTTTTATTGTTAGAGATATATAAAATCGTTAAAAAGGCTTTTGTTGCCTTGCTAACAATTATGCAAGTAAACGCGCAAGTATACGTGACAACAAATAATATAGGATTTTTGTGAGTCCCAGTTATCGTTCCCACAAGGATCTTTGGCGTTTTTGATTTTGAATGAAAATAGCAATTGCTAAAACTAAATCTAATCTAAAAAGTGAGTAAAAATAAAAACAAAGTAATCACAAGACTAAGTTAAAATATTACTGACCAGTGACTTTTTTTTAGGATTTTCAGAATTGATTTCTTGAGTTAAAGGATAAAAATGGAAGGAAAGCAAATTGAGTGTCTTATGTAAAAAGATTTTTATATAAAAAATTGTAAACAGAACTATGATTGAAATATTAAAAATCAAATGAAAAGAAATCTGAGTTAGTGAAAAATAGGTTGGAAAAATAGGTTGAGCTACAGTTACCTTTCCCCACAGCAATGGAGTGAATGTTAATTACAGATTACTAAAAATTAATTCTCAGTTAACGGATCACTTCTTGTTGATCTTAATCCCTTAAAATTATTTTATCCACAACTTTCATTCACACATCCCTGTGCTAAATGAAGTGAGGACTCTTGAATCACAAATCCAAAGTTACATGGTGGCTGCCCTTATCCCTAAGTGACAACCCTTGAATGCTCTCACAATCAAGTCCATGTGCTTAATGCATTTTCCAGAATTAGTCAATCTCCCGATGACTTCTTCCTAAAACAACATCTACCATCAGGCCTCAATGACAGAATGTTTAAATACCAAGCATGGCATTAAACAACTGAGAATCAAAGTTTAAAAAAAAACAATTAACAAACATCCATAACTGAGGTTTGGGTACCTAGACCCAACCTTAAAAGGTTTAGCTCATACCCATAATGGTTGAGCTACAAAAACAGCAAAATGAAAATGAAAAATTATAGACGAACTAAAGTGCAGAAAACGTAAAACACAGCTCGAGTCCTATTATAACACCTCGCAATTCTAAATTAAATATTAAAATATTAAATGAGGATTAAAGTGAAGGATTAGTAAAAATCCTGAAAATTAGGCCAAAATACAAAGAAAGGGCAAAACGGTAATTAACCAACGCGCAACCCTAGGAAGATAAAAATTGAGTAGAAGGTCTCAGATGGTAAAAATTGAGTGGTTAGGCAAGTTTCAGAAAATTCAGTGAATAGTGTTTTTACCGGGTAAAAATACCGCGGTACAGTTGCACCGTAAAGCGTGTCGATTGAGTTTTGAGCTCTAGGTTTTAAATATGGGTTATAAATGGTTTATAGAAATAGGGAATATGATTTCTGATAAAATTTGATGGAATTGAGTAAGTTTGGGGAAGCGTGCTAACGACGCGCGCAACATCTTAAAACAGCATTTTCTCCGAACGAC